TCTCCCAAACCCTTCTGGTCCCCCCCTAGTGAGTTTATAGACTATACATAACAGAGTAAAAGTCTGCATAAAAATGTTTTGAATAGGAGCGGTCTTGTAACTTTTTTAGATATTAAGAATAGTTGCTTATAGTGATTTTTGACTGTTCAAAGAATTAAAGAATCAAATTAATTTTTTGAGATGTATATTGTATTTTTCTAGTTTTAGTGAGCTGACTTATTGGCTTTTCCAATAAGCCAATAACCCAGGGTAAAGGATTTTTGTTTTTTGAAAGTATTGCCATTATGGGGGGGGGGAGGTTCAGTTCTCCTTTGTTTTATTTTAGGATGTATACAAGTCTATTTTTATGCTTATACTATTAGAAAGTCCTTTTTATAATACTAAGCAGGAATAATTGTACCCATTGTATAGAACAGATATGAAAGTAAGCAATTCATTCAGAAACCAGTCCTGCAAAAATCATACATACTGATTGCACGCAGCTACTCTGTCAAAGTCACCACTGGTGTACAAAAAATTAAGTCTGTTCTTTAGACTTTGCAGGATCAAATTCTCAGGGTTTGATCTTGATGTATTGAGCATCCTCAGCCAGTTTTATGCTCAAGTTCAATTTTAAACCATATCAGGCTTTGTTCATTCACTTATACTGAACCTTTTTTATTTGGGCAGTATCCGTTCTTTAAAAACGGTTTCCCCTTTGCAGTCAGTTTTCTCAGTAAATTCATACGGTTGAATTTATAACATTCTTTCTTTGGTAAGATTGTACAGGATTATAAGTATGCAAGTTTGGACAAAGTTCATATTCAAGTCCCAAATAACTTCTAAAATAGGAGAAAAGCAGGAACTACTGCAATAGCCAGTTACTCTTTTATATAAATATTCTTGTTTTAAAGCTGACTAGTACAATACAATGTTTTTCTGCTGCTACAGAGAATTTACGTAGAAGAATTTTTGTTTTATCTTAATACAGAAAGAACTCTGCAACATGATTCTTGACTGCTGCGCTCAGCAACGAACATATGAGAAATTCTTTGGTTTACTGGCCGGGGTGAGTTCCATTTTAGCCTTTATCTTTTTTTTTATAGTAAGAAGCATATTAGCTTAGAATGACATTGAAAGTGCCCATGTAAGAATCTGATAGTTTGTTAAATCAAATTGATGATTTTTTTGATTACTTTCTGAAATTGGTTTAGCAATCGTGTATGATTTTCATTCCTGACTCTGAGAGAAGACCAGACTTTCCACATTCTTTTTTTCTTTTTACCTTTTTATTTCTGCCTTGTAGAGGGATGAACCAGTGACCAAAGTGTAATAGGAAGAGAATAGACTCTATATAGGAGAGAAAATATTAGGGCTTACTAAAAATTTTCCAGGAGCTACAGGAAAACAGTATTTGTGGTTTCCATTAGTTTTTTCACTTCATTAGGGTTGCTTAGTTAGTTTAGATGCTAAGATGACCAGCTCCTTCCTGCACCATTCAGTAAAGAAACACATCTATTTTCTTGCGGTTTTTTGTCATCAGTTGTGTATAATTGGGTATTACTCTGGTTGCAGTTATTTATAGGAAGCGCTATTCTTTGTACTCCATCTATCAATGTAGCTGACTCTGACAGTAAAATTCTACATAAATAAAACTAATGGGTATGTCCATACAGCACAAGGCAGCATTTATGCAGACGGTAACATGCTAGCTAATGATGCCAGAACCAGAAGCAGTATGGCTGTACTTGTGTGATGCTGTGCCTGAGCAAATAATTAGTTCGGATGAAAAGTAGGGCACAATCTTGTCACGGTACTGCTCTAGCTTGGCTGTCTCTGTATATGTTACCTGGTGCCATATACTTATATCCTTTCATGTCCCCTGAAACTTACTGAAGGTATCATTCCTTTCTAGAAAAAATTCAGAACATGATTGCTGTCACTGTGGTTGTGCAGAGAAGCATATTTCCTCTTGTCTTTCACCCAGCGCTAGTAGAAGTAATTTTAAATGGCATTTTGTTTTGTTACAAAGCATTTTGGAACTCGTAACCATCCAAATAACAGCAAAAATTGTTGTAGCAACTTTTGTTCCTTATTTTTTAGAATGCCATTTTTGCCTAAAACATCCTGACTCCACACTCCCTACTGCTTCTTTAGTTTTAAAATAACCCTGATGTGTTATCATGAAAAATGTTACACTGTGTGGTGTGGTGTGGTATGGTATGGTATGGTATGCTAAGAGGTCACATTAGGTGAGAATACAGGATATGAAAGTTGAGGAAGTAAAAGCAATTATCTTACAGTTTGCAGGTCAAAACTGGTAATTATTGCTGTACAGTCCAAGATTAGTCTATAGTTCGTAAGTTGCTAATGACAATACATTTATCTACATTGCTCTAAATGCCTCTTTTCTTGCTGCAAATATGCTTAAAAGGAAAGATTTGCATAAAATACTTGTGCTATTATGTCATCTAGATTTAGATTATTTGCATATATAATATTTTGTCTTGCTGACCTGGTTGTTTTAACTGTACAATGTTATTTCAGCGTTTCTGCATGTTAAAAAAAGAATACATGGAATCCTTTGAAGCTATTTTCAAAGAACAGTATGATACAATCCACCGTTTAGAAACAAACAAATTAAGAAATGTTGCCAAGATGTTTGCTCATCTACTGTATACAGATTCGATTCCTTGGAGTGTAAGTAGGCAAGGCTATTGTCCTAGGTTCCTCTTTAAATACCAAATCTGTTGTTTTTTAGAAAAAATTTATGTATTGTGTTCATTGTTTTTGTGTTTTGGAATTTAAAATTTGCTTATGGGATCTGGGGCAGTTTTTCTAATGAACATGCTGAAATCACAAATAGGCAAACAGTTTTAGAACTCAGTGTCATTGTTACCTAGGAATGTTTCTGGACAGGAGGAAACCAATTATCTCCAAATTTCTGGAAGCTTTGGGAAGTAGCTTTTCTGGGTAACGCTCTTTATTTGCTAAATACAGAATGGAGAGGAGCATTGTGCATAAGGATAATCACTGTGTAAATGTACATAAAGCATTACTGAAATGCAGCCACATGTTGGGTAGAATCTTTCCGCCAAATAGTGCTACACAGCATCTAAAAGAACAAAAGTTTTCACGAAAGATTGTAGAAGACATTCTTATTCTTGAACAAAATACACTTGATCATTTATTATACAAGTAGTGGTTATTTCAGATGGATGAAGGATCAAGGTTTTAAAGCCTGAAATTACTAACTGGTTCATAAGAAAATCTGAGTTTATTATTTTAATGGAAATGGTTACAAAACTATTTTGCAGAACTGGAAACGTGCATAAGTATTGCCACAGTTTTTAGATGGAAGAAGCTACTTGTTCCTGTAGGGCTAAGTGTCTGTGTGAGCTCTTTAAAATGCAGTAGGAAAGGATGTACATTTAAGGTTTCTTTTTGTTGTCCCCCTACCCCCTTTATAATTTTCAGGTCCTTGAATGTATAACATTAAGTGAAGAAACTACCACATCCTCCAGCAGAATTTTTGTCAAAATATTCTTCCAGGAACTTAGTGAATATATGGGACTTCCTAATCTTAATGCAAGATTAAAAGATGAGTAAGTTAAAAAAAGAAATATTGAAAGAGAATCATCCTATGAAAGATTTTACTTGCAAAAGTACTTACTGAATTCTCTGAATTATTATATTTATTAAAGAAAAACATAAAATGTTAACATGAAATTAAAGCCCTGATTCAGCAGACTTCTATGCACTGAATAATTCTACTGAAGTCAAGAGACACTTCCTATGAGTAAATAATAGAACTTCCCGGATCAGTCTCTATTCCCTTGGTTTTCTTCCACTGCTTTTCAACTTGCTTTAGTTTGGAAAATTGCTGTGCATATCTGTTTGCATCAGCGTAGCTGCCAAGGGTAGTAAGAATAGTCTTTTGGCAGAGCCTGCAAGAGACTCTAGAACCACTTATACTTGTTTTTATGAGATTAATTACTCATTTTTAAATATAGTAAAGCTAATACAGTCTCTTATGCCTTTGTGTATTTCAGTAATTATATAGCACTGAGGATTGTGCTAGCTGTTAGGTTATTTTTGAGTGTTTATAGCTTATTCTTTTTCTCTGTACAATAAAAGCTCTGTTATCCAGCATCCCCTGGGAATGGCGGATGCCAGATAACAAAATATGCTGGTTAATTGAGCAGACCCAGCTGCCACTTCTCCCCCTGTGTCCCTTCACCCCTCCTGCGGCATCGCCGCCCCTCCCACAGGCCCTGCAGGCCCTGTGGGACAGGGAGGTGGACCCCACAGAGCCTGTTATGCCCCCGGGCCATGGGGGCTCGGCAGCACAAGCTGCTTTGCCCTGGACCATAGCAGCTCGGAGAAACTGGAAGTGCCATGGTGGGAACTTCTGGTTTTACTGTTCCTTACAAGCTGGCATGCTGGTTAACAGAGCATGCCAACTTGTAAGGTGCCAGTTACCAGAGAGCTTACTGTATTAACATGTAGCTAAATTAGGTACCTAGTGACCCAATGCTTGCTCTGATTTTAAGGCTTATTTTGGGAATTCTATATGGAAACAAACGTTGTTAGCTGTATTAACCTGAAGTCAGGCCAAAGTTTAGGGGGTGGGTATGCTGAAGACTGTTTGTTTCAGAGAGGCATATGCTTTTGTAGGCAACAACCTATTACATCACATATTAACAACACATTTGATGAAATAGGTTGTTGCCTATGAAAGTTCACACCTCTCTGAACCAACTAGTGACTAAGGTACCACCCCCCCGTACCTTCCACATGGGAACATAGAACTGGCAAGGACTTCTTGGTCATAGAGTTCAGTTCCATTTATAATAGGCTACCATGTTATTAGCTGGGATCTGGGTTTTTTCCATTCATGATGGAAAAATGTGGTAAAGCCCAGATTTTTTCCTTTAAAGGAGAAAAACACGGGAAGTGTGGGGGGGAAGGGGGTCCTCTTGCAGGCTGGCAGAATTCCAGCCTGTAAGGGGCTTGGGCAGGAGCAGAAGAAGGGTGATCAGGCGGGGGTGCCATGTGCATGTAAACACACACATGGCAGTTGGGCAACCTGGAGAGCAGCTCCCACATGCAAGTCAGAGGAGGTCAAGGCCCCCATAGGGAGGGAGGGAGGGAGGGAGGGATTTAGGCAGGGCTAGGGCTCCTGCTCAGCCTGGACAGTGTGTGGTGCTTGGGTCGCAGGGCCACAAGGCCCAGACGGGGCCACTCAGCCAGGGGGCCAGTTCCCCACCACTGCATGCCCTCCTGAGGAGGGGAAAGGGGGGCATGTGCCCCCCAGATTTGTGTAGCATGGGGGTGGGCTGCCCACTGAGGGCTCAGGCTCCCTGCCCTACTGCCCACCCCCAGGGACCTCCTCAGCCCAGTGGGCAAAACCTGGTATGGCAGGGCAGGGCAGAGTGGGGTGGGGAAGCTCAGTGCTGCTGCTGTGAGCCCTGTACTGCGATGGCGAGGCACCCCTCAGCCTACCCAGCAGCAGCAGGGATTTTATGTTCCCCTTGCTGCTGCTGGGCGGGCCAGGGGTGCCTTGCTATGGCAGTGCAGGGCTCCCAGCAGCAGCAACGAGCTTCCTGCATGTTCTTGCCCTCCCCTGCTATGCTGAGTCCTGCCCGCTGGGCTGAGGAGGCCCAACAGAGGGGCAGCAGGGCAGGGAGCTCCAAGCCCACAGCGGGCAGCCCACCCCCAATAGGCTCTGCTCCGGGCATGCTGCCCATGGGGGAGGGGAGAGCTGGGCTCTGAGCTGTGCTCCACCACAGCAGCCGCCACCTCCTGCAGGTGGCAGCCAAGACTCAGGCACTGCTGCGGAGGTCAGTGGGCTGTGGATCTGATTCATTGGCCCCATAGCCCTGGCAGCTGTGCCCCCTCTGGCAGGGCTGTGGGTGGGGAGTGAGGGGAACCAGCGGGGCTGGCATTCGGGAGTGAAGGGCAATGGCATGGGCAGACCACCAGCATATCAGGGCTGCTCAGCACCCCAAAGCAGTGGGGGGACAGCTGCAGCTGGACCCATGTCCTGATGAGTAAAGGGAGTAGGGGGAGCTCTGATTTTTTTCCATGATTAAAAACCTGAAATCGAACACCAAAATGTGTAGGTATTTATAATTGATTTTATTGCAGTGCTTGAGGCACTAGTAGGCTTCCAAATTGCTTTAAGATAATAGATATATCAATAAAATATTGTGTTCAACTGATACTTACACATACAGTGGCATTTCATTTTAATCACGGGGGGGAAAAAGCAGATTTTGTGATTTTTTTTTTTTTTTTTTTTAATCGGAGGATTTGAGATTTTTGTTTCTAATAAGAGAAAACCAGGATCCCTGGTTATTAGTTCTGTTCCATGTTTGTTAGGCTGGTGCAGAGTTAGGCACTTATTTTGTCTGTTTAGAAACTACCACTATATTGTGAATGTATCTGTAAAATTCTCCTAAAAGAACATTAATTTTAGCAGACCCAGAAAGAGTATTACTTTTTGATGTGTCACAGGGTTTGCAAAAACAATTGCACAAATGAAAACTCTTTTGGTCCAGTAGATCTTCATGTGGCTTATTTTTCAACCAATGTTTGTTCAAGTTAAGAGTGGTGTGAAGCCTGAGGTTTAATTTAAATGTTTTATTTTGTTTTTTGTCAGAACACTGCAGCCCTTCTTTGAAGGTTTATTGCCTCGAGATAACCCAAGAAACACTCGATTTGCTATCAATTTCTTCACTTCTATTGGTCTTGGAGGACTAACGTATGGCTTCTTTTTGTTTTAACTCTGATTTCACATTTGCTTGACTTGCTGTTTAAGGATTGAGAGAAATATTGGTTTTTGTTGTTGTTTGCTAGGGATGAATTACGAGAACATCTAAAAAATGCACCAAAGATAATTATGACCCAGAAACAAGATGTTGAATCATCAGATACCTCCTCATCTTCCTCAGAGTCAGATTCCTCTTCAGAATCGGATTCTGAGAGCATCAGTAGTAGTACAGAGTCATCCAGTACCAGCGACTCTTCTAGCAGTGATTCAGGTATGAAGCAGCAACTGTCAGTTATCTTATGCTCTTTACTGGGTCTGTATAAACTTTGTATGGGGACAAATAACCATTGTTAATCATTTATGTGTTGTTAGCCTTCATGCTGTAAAAATTCCCAGCACTAATTGTGATTAATTCTAGAAAAAAGCAAAATAAAGTGTTTTTTAACTATCCTGTTTTTCATTGTAGAAGTTATAAGTACTGTGTTCAGTTTCCAGAGACCAAAAAGAGGGGCATTTTATCTTGCAGGCTTTTCCTTCAGCTCATGATTTCTATTGCAAAATGTTGAACTAGAAAATTAGCATTTCCCTTCTTAACGTTTGTTTATAAAGACTGGGCCACATCTTTTGGAAGGCTAACTGGTGAACTGTTAATGTTTGCACCCATGGGGTGGGTTGGTTGGTTTGTAGTTATAATGGGTCTGTTCTTATTTGGGGGGTTTCTTGCCGTGTCCATCAAATTCAATTTCTTTACATTTGATTTAGCTTCTTTACAAATCTCATTTACCAAACCCATTTACAAATTCTTATTCCTAATGAACAATGTAAAATGCCACTATAACAAAAACTCCTGTCTTTTGAGAATTCTCCAAGGGCGATAAACTTTTGCTGACAAGTGGCAATATAATTATAATTACTATTTTTTTCTGAGGTTGGTTTGCTGATATTAAATCTACTGTTTAACATGAAGCATAATAAACATTGTTAATCTAAAATGTTCCTGCTAGACCAGTCCAGACTGGTGGTCTCCTGAATTGCATGTTATATGAGAGCAGATGATAACACAGCATGAACTTCTGTAGTTAGGATCCTTGCTGATTCAAAACTAATTTTATTTATTATATAATATTAGAAGAGAATGCACTGATTAATAAATATGCAGGCACTACAAATCACTCATAAATTAGATATGCATTTTTGTTCTCTGTTGAAAACTTGCTTTCCATTGTTTTCATTAGACAGCTATTATATTAATGACTAAAGGAGAGCACAGTTTAACAGGGTCAGAGAGGCGTTAGTTCAGCAAAGAGCCAGATGGTTCCTACATAGACAGCTGCAGCTCTGCTGAGCTGCTTGATGGGAACCAAAGAGGTAAGTCCTTAGTGATAAACCAACTGAGTCTGCAGTCTGCCACTGAGAGCATGTTTTTTTGTGGATTTAAGACATTCTCTTTCATCATTTTGCCTTTTTTCTCATTCAGAAACAGATTTATAAAGACATTCATTTTCATGATCTCAACAGTATGTTTTCATTTATTTACACCAGAAGCTGAAATATGTCAAAAACTATTATTAACTAAGTTGCTGGGTATAACACTTTTTTGAGAGAAACAGACCTTTTTTATACCTTTATGTTCTCTCGTGGTATAAACTTCACACAGTTCTTGGTTATGGTTCAAATTCTTAATGTTTTTGCTTATTTTTATAGATTATGAGGACTCAGCGGAATTATGGAAAACATTTCTTGGGGGCGTTCTCTTAATATGTTTGTCAGCTCTTTTTAATAGTGTAGTTAGTACTGATCTAGCAGCTAGGTCTGGCATGTTGATGCTTGTTGCCAGGAGCTTCGGTTGGGGAACAACTTAAGAATTCTTGCTTCTTGTGCTGGAAACTTTGTACACATGTGATGATTTATGGGATAGGAGCTAGAGAAATATGCTGTTTTTTTACAGCAGAAAGGAAATGAACTAGATACAAAAACAGTTCTGGTGTAGAAATGTTGTTTTCATTCTGGTTAATTTCCAGAGTGAATGTTAAAAGACAACTGAAAAACAACTTCAGCTTCAGTAATATACTGAGTTAAACTGCTAAACAGGATTGTATTGAGGAGATAACTAAAGCTGAGATTGAGTGACACCCAGTAAAAAAAAAAAATCTCACCTGCCAGCAACTCGGCTATAACTGGCTACAGCTACTAAAGCCATCCTGCTGCATTAACAAGCTTGCATATGGTTGAAAAAAAAGAAAAGGGAGAAAAACATGTAACATATTTTAAAATATTTGACTTAAGCTACTGGTTTAAGTACGTCATAAGTGAAGTACTGACAACCCTGAAATCAGACTCGGAGGGTTGCATTTAGCCTATGTTACTGAAGCCAATGTAATGTGACTGTTTTACTTGCAGCTCGTAAAGCCTTGTTCTATTGACCAGTTGGCCTAATAAAAAAAAAATAATCATTTTTGGCAAAGTCTTGATGTGTTACAATAATGTGCTGGGGATTAGTCTTTTGTTCTTCCACTGAATCCCCTTGCAGAACTAATGGTCTCCTCTCCAGTTGCCCAGTGAGTGTGCATAGTTTTAAATGCTGTCACAATATTATAATTGGGGATCAACCTAAAATGCAGAAAGCAGAGACAATTTTGTGCAGTAAGCCTGCCCCTTGCCTTTGATTTGTCAAGAGGGGCAGGGCCTGTGATGGGCAGCCCTCTCAGCTAATCAGCAGCAGTAGTAGTGGGCGGCCACGATGGTGGCTGCCCCCAACCCCTTCTCACTTCTCCTTCCGGCAGGCTGTGAGGGCCATGTCTAAGCAGCCACAAGGACTGCTAGGTCCCACTGGGGAGCCAGTGTTTTATTTTTAGCAAGTTGGGGTTTTTTATTATTTTAGTTCATGGATTTCATGGTTTTCATGAAATCACAAATTAAGTAGGACCCTCATTATAATGTTAATATAAGCACTGTAATTGTGAACACCCTTGGAACCCAGCTCTTTCAGTCCCCAAAATTTTAGGCATCTACATTAATAAAAATCTTTGTCAGCAGGGCTTTTATGCTGTAGTGGCACCCACAGCTGCACAAATCTGACTGAAGCCCCTTACTCCCCTTGTTACCTAACCAAATAATACACCAAAGCACATAGTTTCCACCTAAAACTGTAATTATGTTCCACCCAAAATCTTAACTTAATAATTAAATATAAAAAAATACAAAGGTAATGGTAATCTAAGTGACCTTTTACTTTTGGACCAGCTGATTGGCAGATCTGACTGCATTTGGGAAGTTTCTTCTACTTCTTTGTTGCTAAAGTTGCCAGTGATATTCAGCATTAGAATGAGTTTTCAGGAAGTAGGGATTTTTTTTCCCTGATGTTTCCTGGCGATGGCGAAAGCTCCAGTACAGAGTACTGGACTATGTTACTAACAGCATTTTAGGTCATGTAGGTAGGAAGAAATGCAAAATCTTTTTCCCTTAGTTTATGGCAGAAATAAATTTAAGGGCAGTATAGCTATATATGTGCCTTCATAGACAAACTAAATAAGATTATATATATAGAGAGAGCACACATAAGCTTTCATAAACCCAAGTTCACTTCATGAGATGGTGTGAAAGACGTACAGAAAGCAGAATATAAGGAGGAGAGATGAATTAGAATACAAGAGGCAAGAGAAGAGTGAGAGAGTGCTAGGAGAGAGAAGCAAATGAGCAGTACACCCAGAGACAGAAAGGGTGTCACAAAAGCTAATCCAGGTAATAAAATAAGAATCCATAGTCCCTGTTTAAACCATACGTAACACAGTCTAATTTGTGTATGACTTCTTGTACCATAGTATCCTGTTTGAACTGTTTTTTTTTTTAGTTTTTTCTCCTGAGAACAGCAATCCTGAGGTCAGCAATGGATTAGTGAATTAAGACTAATTCTCAAAATATGGTTTAAGGAACAATGGTACATAGTCTGTGGATCAAGCTGTTCCTCAGTTCCTCCCCAGCCCCATTTTCAGTTGAAAGTTTGATAAATATTCACGGTGATCTTTGAGGAATATTGAAAGCTGGCAGTGAAAAGTGGAAGCTCCTGTTCCAAGACTTGGATAGATGATGTATGTTCTGATGCAACATTACTGTCATTAAATGAAGGTTGGGGGTGGGCACAGGCCAACGTTGAAGCCTAATTGATGAGGTAATCAATTAGTACAAAATGTCGGGTAATCTTGAGAATGGTTGCTGGTTCACAAAGTTGTCCCTTTTCTTATAGGTGTTGTTTAGCTAATTCCTTTATTTTTAAACAACAGGCCTGCTGCTACTTAAAAAACAAAAAAACAAAAAAAAAAAAGCTGACTCCCCAGTAGAACAGGGGCAGATTCTCCCAGCCTGTTTGCAGGTACATAAGTTTAGGGAAGGAGCTCCAGGCACATTGTTTATCCCTGTGGACATAAAACTTTTAAAGTGTGAAATTTTGGCAAAGTATTTCTCCATAAAACTCCTATATATTTTTAGCTTGCTGGTTATGTATAATTAAGGAAACTGAATAAATTAAAACATATGTTACTTTATATTTCTAGATGCTGCTAAAGGAAAAAAGAAGATGCAAAGGAAAAATAAAGAACATGATAGAGTTACCAGGAAAAAACCAAGCAGTAAAAGAAAACAATCTGAAAAGAGAAAGGAAAGAAGGCAGCAGGAAGAAAGAAATGATGTTGAGAGAAAGTCAGAAAGAAACGTCGACAGAAACTTGAGAGATCCAAATAGGAGAGACGAGGTTTCAAAATATTCCTATCGCAGAGATGATTCCACTGACAGAAGCAGTTACCGAAGTGGAAAGGACAGGGACCATGAAAGAAGTAGGGACTTGGAAAATAAACTCGGTACTTCAAAAAAGAAGAGAGCAGAGAGAAGAACTTCTTTTTCTGATAGTGAAAAGGACAAAGCGTGGAATAAAGACAGTGACCATCACAGCAGGAGAAAGGAAAGGTCCAAATCTAAAGAAAGATACCGAAATAATTCAAGTCCCAAAGAGGAACAGCAGGAAGACCGATATCGAAATGGTGGAGAGAAACACTCAGAAAAATACAAACGATATACAAATCAATTCAGAGAATCAAGGAAAAATGAAGACCGGCGAAGGGAGAGTTCTCCACACAGACGAAAATAACATAATGATATGCAGTTAGACATGAACATGCTTGGTTTCTTTTTTTGTTTGTTTTTTTGCAGCTCCAACTTTTACATTTTTAAATCTATTACTGAACTGTCTTTCAAAGGAGATTTTGTACGAAGTGCAAGTTTATAAACTTCATCAGATCTTTTTTCAGTACCACTTTTTAAATAATTTACTGTACTTGCTAAGGCTTGGGTTAAATCTGTTCTTTGAGAGAGTATTTTCTTTTTAAGAGCGAAAGAGTTACACACACAGGCCTGGTTATATTTTGTAAATAAAATAATTCATCTCAGTGAAATTAGTGTTTTTGTTAATTTGTAAATTAGTTAATTTTTCTAAATTTTATAAGTTTTTTTGCATCTTTAGGCATTTGTTCTCTGAATTTGTTTTGTGGGTAAAGCAGTTTGGTCCACATGGAGAAGGGAGAAATTGCACATTACTTACGTACCAGGTGGGCCATCTACAAAAGGGTATACTCTTTGAACTGAAACTACATAGAAAACAAAGAATTAAAAATAAGCCATTTAGAGTAAAAGCATGACATTTGTCAAAATGTGTAGCTGAAGTACTGTAAAATGTCACACCACATGTATACTTAATGTTAAATGGAATAATTGTGTGACCTTTTCAGGGATGTCTTGCTGACCTGCTGACTTAAGTGGTAAAGCTCAGATAAGTGTTTTAAGAGGTTTACCCCACTCCTCCCCACCTCCTTTAAATGCATCAGTATGAGTACTGCAGTCTATACAAATACATATCCGCAGTATGGAGTATCCTCTCTGGACTGCATGGCCCTCCATCTATATTACCACTTCCCAAGATCCCACCTGGGATTCTGACCCAAGAAGGGGTCACAAGCCCCATTCTATCTGATGAGTTGGGTTCTCCCTTGAGGTCAGATCATTGATACAAAAAATGGGGAACTGCTGATTTAGATTCACCAATTAAACTTGGAGGAAGATTCAACCAGAGATCTGCCTTACGTGCCATACCAGCTATTTCTTCTGTTTAAATTTAAAGAATTGTAACCTAGTGGCTGTAAATTTCATAGTTTCAAGGCATAGGAGCTTGCTGTTATGTTGCTCTGTCCATCCTATTTTCAATTCTAAAATAGAAAGCTTAAAATGTTAGCATTCTTATAAAGATGCAGAAAAGCCCCCTGATTTTGCAACCAGTTGACTTGAAGGTCATTTTACTCTAAATCCTATTACTACAACTGCCAATTTTAGCAGCACTTCGGTAGCAGATTTGAGAAATATATGAGGAGGTGCACAGCAGAAGCAAAATATCCTCCAAAATTCCTTCAAGGGGAGATTGATTGAAGCAGGTCTCCTAGTGGAAGAAAACCCAGGTTCACCAAATATTTCATTAGGCCTGAAAACACAGTAGTAAATTAAAGCTGTTGTACATGTGACAGGGTTTTAGTTTCCCTACATTAAAATGGTGGGTTTTTAAATGTGATGATTAAAAACCCACTGTTTCAATTTAGGGGCTTCCATCACTGTTACAGCAAGGGGCCTGATCCTTTTTTTTTTTCCTTTTCAGTAGAGCCTGCCCGCAGCGGGGGGGTGAGCTGCCAGAGGGTCCTGAGCTGTAGAGGGTCCCCGTCCTTTCCTCCACAGCAGCGGTGCCCCCCAGCTCAGCCAGGAAAAAAAGGATCAGGCCCCTCACTTTTTTTTTTTCCAGGCAGAGAGTTGCCAATGGGCCGAGCAGCCCCTGAGCTGCCGGGGGCCCCAGTCCTTTCCTCCATGGTGGCAAGGCCTCCTGGGCCAGCTGCTAGTGGGCTGGGTGCTGCCCCATCTCAGAGCCAGCATCTGGCCTACTAGCAGTCTGTCTGGGCGGGCCTGAGGGGTGTCACCACTGTGGAGGGAAGGACCAAGGCCCCCCACTGGCAGCTTGTCCCCTGGTTGGCTGTGGGCAGGCTCCACTGGGGGTAGGGGGAAAAAAAAGAATCAGGCCCCTCATTGCATTTCCCCCTCCCCCCCCCCCTTCCACCAGGGCTTCCAGCACCCCATGTACTGCCCCCAGTACCTGGGACTGCCCAAGAATGGGCTGCCTTATCCCTGGAGCAGTGCAAGAAGGCAACAGGAGAGTGGCTGGATATGCTGGTGGCCAGAGAAGGTCGTAAGGACAGTGCACAAGGTGCTGGAAGCCCGGGCAAGCTTGGGGATGGATGTATCACTGCAATTTGTTAGGTAGCAACCTAAAATACATCAGGGTGTATTTTAGTTTGCTATGTAACAAAGTCATTTACATCGCAATATGCCGTGGCATGTGTACAGTGTGATGAAATTAAATCACAATACGCTACTGCATGCGTAACACAATTGAACTACTATAAAAGAGGCCCTAGTGACATGCTAAGAACATTTTAAACAGCTAGTTAAATAGATTTTAACAAAGTAATCGGATAAGGATTTCTGGGTAATTAGAAATTGGAAGTGCTAAAGGAAAATTCTGAGTCTTCTGGTTCAACACATTTTGGGACATAGTGCAAATATGAGTTACACAAGTAACAGCTGAGTAAGTAGCATGCTCTTATTGCTATGCAAGACTGATTCTCTTTAACTGAACCTTTTAAACAATGAACTAAAAGTAATTGCTGTAAATATGAAGATATAATTGTCATTTCAACATTTGGAGCTTGAATCATTAGATTATACTTTGGAAAAGTTGTTTTTTAAGTAGGAGGTAGATGGCAGCCAATGAAACAGATTAATTATGAATAGAACTATCAGGAAAACACATTTTTCCATGAAAAATGTATATGCTATTTTTTCTAATTTTTTTCTGAATTTGGTTGAAAATAGAAACTATAACCAATATTTTCACTTAATCAAAAAGTCATTTTCACTCAAAATATTTAATGGAATATTTTTCTACCAACTCTGATGATAAAGCAAATGAAGGTTTCACAATGCAGAAAGTACACTAAACTGTTTTGTGCTTATTGCATCACAAAGATGGAGTTGTTAAATTGTACTTCATTAAACCTTTAATGCATTAAACATTTATAAACAATCTATTTAAAAAAAAAATAATCCAGTGGTACTCAACGTACCCATGGGCCAGGCAACAATGCAGCTGGGTTGTAAGCACCTGGCCCACCTCTTAGAAGGTTGAGTTCCACTGATTTTAATCTGTTTTATGCTGATCCAAAGGACCAACAGAAATCTTGACATTGTAATAAATTTTTGTATAACTTTTTTTAATTAAGAGAAAAAATGGGTTATCTGGAAAAAATGGATTATCTGCAAAAAATTGTTGATAGATAGCTTTGTGGATATTAGCTACAAACACAGTTGCATACAGTCTTGGTATAAGATGGCTTTTACAGAAAGAAATTCATTGTTTAACAGTGAACTTTTGAAATTACCTTGTACAAAAGATCTATTAAAAACAGGATTTTTTTTCCTTCAATTTTGTTTCTAGTTGCTTTTTGTAGTGTTTTCCATAAATCACATGACAACTCCGTTTGGTTTTGTGCAACTAATGAGTGTTTCCATTGTGGCGGAGTATATATTAAGGTCACAGGACACCTGGAGCATATCTCTAGTCAGTTTGTGTATCACCGTTTTTTTTTTTTGTTGGGCATACATCAGATGTGGCTATTGGATAATGGATTTGTATTAACTGCAGCTTTAAGCAAGGTGCTCTTAAAAATAGCCTTTGTTTTGCTATCATTGATGGTTTAATTATTTTAATAAAGCATAGTAATAATGTACTACATGTTCAAACAACAAAAAACAGCAATCATCGCAACCTGTGGATTTTAAAGGACATTTGGTGTGCACTTAGACAACAAGATACTGCTTGAATGCTGTTGTAGCCAGGATGGTCCAGGAAGTATGCAACAAGCAAGGATTTTTGTAGGCGATTTATAGTTGGTCTGATAAAAGATACAGTCGAGATAGACAAGCTTCTGAACAAAGAATGCGCTGCATTCAAAGTCTTGTGTAAGCATATCCCAACCACACAAATACAAATCAGTCAAGTTTATTAACTTGAATCATTGGCCCTAGACTACTTAGGTCTCATAAGAGGTCTAACAATCTGCAGTTTGGGGTGGGGGATCAGTGTTGTGGCCAGAAGGAAGCATTATGATCATCTAACGATACCACCTGCATAACAAGGACTGCACACAGTAACTGTCATTCCTGCATCAAAACTATAACTTCTGCTTGAACTAATAACTTACATTTTAGAAAGATAACTAGTCTCTATATAAAGGCTTCAAGTGATGGAGACTGTATTACATGCCTTAAGTATGTTGTTCCAATGGCTGTCACTTCAAATAAAAAACAAATCACATTTTGCAGTAGTCTTGCTTCAAAGTCCCATTACCTGGATCTAGTTATGACTTGGCTAAATAGAGCTTTTTACTAGCAAGTCATCTTCCCATGCAAGAACATGTAGACCAGGATCAAATAGCTCCTTAACTTTGTCTTAGATACATTGGATAGTGATTAGTCATTTCAAACTACATGGAATATTTATCCAGACTCCACAAAGGAGAGCAAATTGAAAATGTATTTTAATAGAGAAAATTTGCCAATGAAAGTGCCATCTGTGGCTATATTGCAGAGGCTCATTTGGGCACCAAGACTGAGATCCTCATAGGTATTTATGAATATAACCCCCATTGATTTCAGAACTGTAATCACATTCTCAGGTATGCTGACCACTGGGTCATAATAATGCTCCATCCTCTCAGTTTAATGCATGGTTGCTTGTTATTTTTACACATTAGAGCTGAAAAACTGTGTCGAAGTGGAGAGTAATTTGGCTGAAGTATCAGGACACAGCTGGCCCTGGTTAGATGTGCACTAAGAAGGGACTGGAGGGGAGACTCCACTGAAGGCCTAGGTCTAGATGGACCAATGAGCTTTTGGGAGATTGCAATAGAGGAGGGACAATGTTTTTTGAGCTCTGAGCTTTTGTGCATCCATTTTTTAAAAATATGTATAATTTATGAATTTCCAGATGAGGCAAAGTAAATATAACAATGGTATCAGCTGTACCTTGTTCACCAGAGATGCCCTGAGTTTTTTCCAAAGTTCTTGCTATAGTTGCACTGGAGGTTCCCAGGGTATCCCCTGAATTCAATGCCACTAAAGGTGTCAAACATAAAGCCTATAGGTGAGATTCAGCCTGCAGAGGCACTCTGTTTAGCCTGCCAGGTTGTTGGTGAACCAGCAGAAGTTAGGGGGCATGGCCAGCAGGGAGTATCCTGCTACAGAATATGGCAGTTGGTAACAGGAGGCTCAGCAAGGGGTGACACAGCCCCAGTCATCTTTCAGCCACTTCACCTGTTGCCACTGTCATGGCCTCACCTCACTGGCCCCCACTACATGCTCCCAGCTGGAGCTGCTCCTGCTGTGGCAGAGGGTACACAAGTGGGGTAGCACCAGCTCTGGCACAGGGCATGTGATGGGCCACAGCCATTCACTTCAGGTCAAAGCCAGAAGTGCCCACTGCCATTGCTTTCTCATGTCCCAGGCCAGATTTGACCCAGAGAAGCCCTGCGGTCTGGATTCATCCCAGAACATAAGGCGAGTTAGAGACCCCTGCTATATATGATAGTTCTGATTAACGTGGGAGTTCTGCTGGCATAAGAACCATGATTCTTCCCTCTAAACATAATGAGTGTCATTGTCTTTGGGTAAAGTCGTCTTGTGTGACTTACTATCTTCAGATCTAAGCCTCCAGATGAAAGGAATGGTGCTCTCGTAAACTCTTGTATTTTTATGCAAATAGAACCATTCAAATCCACATAGTACAATAGCATTGAAGAAGTTGACTGACCAATAAGTTAGGCCTAAGAGACTGGATGTATGTATCCATATTCTTAATTGTACATATTAAGACTTTCTGTTTCAATAATTCCAGCCAAAATCTTGCAGTACTGTGCTACCACAGAGAAAGTAGAAATGACTATGAAAGGCTCTTTTGCCTTTTTATTTTGCAAGCTAAGTGAATAGCACAAAACAGATTAGGTTGCATATATATCAAAAGCCACCTTTCCCTCCTCCCATTTTTTCCAAGTGTGGAAAATTATGTTTTAGCACAGACATTAATAAAAGTAAAGACAGTTTTTGTTCAAAACATGATATTAATCTTTGCTTTGCATGGTTTTCTTTTTAAATCACGTATGATTTTAAGAATATAACTTTTCTCAATGTTTGAATGCAATGCAAACTTTAAAATAGCTAAGTACATGACAACCACCACAAAAATATGCTGGTTAGGGTGGAGTATTTTTTTAAATTCCAAAAAAGATTTTAAATGCATCCCTATCATTAAGCTTAGTTTCTGCAGCTTTGTGAATATAAAAGAAAG